GGGGGGGGGGGGGGGTATGCCAGTGGGCATATATCTGTGGAAGGGCCTTATGAGCTGAAAAGCTCAATCTGTGTAAGAAAGGTGTTCAACTGTTTAAATAACACGATTTTGGAAAAGTGGTTTCTCCAATACGACAACCTCTGGAGGTAGGAAACAGAGGCTCGGCGGCGGTGAAGGCTGAGAGGGAGGAAGCCCAGTGCTCCGTAACACACTCTCACAGCCCTGGAGCCTCCCTGGTGGGCAAGAGGAATGCTTCACATGGAGGCCATGGGCTCCTGCCATTGGGGGCCAGCCCCACTGCCCTCCCCCACACCCCGCATGGACAGAGACTTGCTGCTGACTGTCCCTCAGCGCTCTAGAGCGGGGCTGTCCACAAGCACGTTCTGCGGGGACAGAACTGTCCTAGATCTGTGCTTCCAGGCACATAGCCACGTGTGGTTAGTGAGCTGCACCGTGGCCAGCGCACCAGAGGGACTGGATTCATGTTAAATTTTAGTTAACTTTAATTTCAATCGCCACCAGTGGCCGGACCTCAATGCTGTTAAAGCACAAGTTCCCCCAAATTATTCTCTGAGTTGAAGGCAATGCTGGTGAAAATTCAGCCAGGATCGCTCATGGGTCTTAATGTGAGACTCCCAAAATTCACATCGAAGAGTACCTGCCCAAAATAGCCGAGACAATTTTTAAAAAGAACCAGAGAGGGGTTTTGTCCTAACAAGAAAAAAACCCATGAAACCCAAAGTCTGATGCTTGCACAGAAATGGACAGGTCCTCTAACCATGAACGCGGATTTTTTCTGTTCCCTGATCTGTTCCAGGCCCCTAAAACACTGCCTGGTATAAGTAGCAGGTGCTCAATGAATATCTGTTGAATGAGTGAAAAGATCATGAGTGAAAATATCAACAGATATCAAATATCTGTTGAATGAGTGAAAAGATTCATGTAGGAATTAGATGGAACTTGAAGTCAATGGAGAAGGGACAGACTGTTCAATAAATTGCTTGGAAACAACTGGCTAATCTATACAGAATAATAATAGGGCGCGCTGGGGTGGCTCAGTCCATTGAGCGTCCTACTCTTGATTTCAGCTCAGGTCATGATCCCAGGGTCATGGGATTGATCTCTGCATCAGGCTCTGCACTGAACGTGGAACCTGCTTGGGATTCTCTCTCTCTCTCTCTCTCTCTCTCTCTCTCTCTCTCTCTCTCTCTCCCTCTGCCCCTCTACCTTGCATATGTGCGTGTGCTCTCTCTTAAAAAAAAAAAAAAAATTGGACCCCTCACCTTGCATGGTTCCCTGAAACAAATTTCAGCTTAAAGTCCTAAAGGGCATACAAATATCCTGAAGAAAATATTTTAAAACTATATTTATGATGCAGGGCAAAGCCCCTTTTAAAATAAAACATGAAAAGCCAAAGAAATGAAACAATACTCGTTAATTTAGCTAATTAAAATTAAAACCTTCCTGTACAGCACACTGGATTGTATATTTGCAAGTTGCTAAGAGAGTAGATCTTAAACGTTCTCATCACAAGAAAAAAGTTGTAACTATGTGTGGTGAGGGATGTTAACGCATTGTGGTCATTTTGCAATATACGTAAAAATCGAAATCATTACATTGTGCATCTGAAACTGATGTTATATGTCAATTTATCTCAATTTAAGAAACACAAAAAATAAAAAAAAAACTTTTGTTAGATGAAAGAGCACAAAGTTAAAAGACAGAACCGAGAACCACTGAACTGCACACTTTTTATAAGGGTGAATTTTATGGTGTGTGAATTATATCTCAAAAGAAAAATTAGAAAGAGGACAAGTGACAGAAAATGTTTGTAATTACAAAGGATCAGTATCCATGATAAATAAAGAACTACTAGTAAATCAACATGACAAAAACTGAGCAAAAAACATGAACTAGAGTGTATTATGCTAAGCAACATAAGTCAGGCAGAGAAAGACAGATGTCGTATGATTTCACTCATATGTGTAAGAAACACAACAGATGAACACAGGGGAAGAGAAGGAAAAATAAGATAAAAACAGAGAGGGACGCAAACCATAAGAGACTCTTAAATACAGAGAACAAACTGAGGGTTGCTGTGGGGTGTGTGTGTTGGGGGGATGGGCTAAATGGGTGATGGGCATTAGGGAGGGCACTTGCTGGGATGAGCACTGGGTGTCATAGTTAAGTGATGAATCACTGGGTTCTACTTCTGAAAGCAATACTACACTGTGTGTTAAACAACTTGAATTTAAATAAATACATATAAAAAATATATATGAACTGGGGGCACCCAGCTAGTTTAGCAGAGCATGCAACTCTTGATCTCGGGGTTCTAAGTTTGAGCCCCATGTTGGGTGTAAAGATTACTTAAAAAAAATCTAAAAAAAAATATATAAACTGGCATTTTATAGAAGAGAAAATACAAATGGCTAAGACACATACAGATGCAAAGCTAGAAAACGCAAACTAAAACGACCAAGAGAGAATTATTTCTACCCTCTGATTGGGGGTGGGGAGACAACACGGACTGTTGCCAAGCATGCGGGAGCAAGATGACCTTTCGGATCCAGCAGCAGAGAGAGGAAATGGGCAGAGCCCCCTTTTAAAGAGTAAGTTGGCAGCTCCTATTTCAATGGAGAACGTTCCTACCTAAGCCCCCATGATACCGCTTTTAGCTAGCTTCCCTGCAGACGCCCTTGGGAGTGTATGCTAAGAACAGATCCACACTCCTCGTCATAGGTGGTTGGTAATCATGAAGAAGAAGTAGGAACGACTGGCCGGATCGGTGATGTGAATAGCCACACCAGGACCCACTACACAGCAGTGAGCAGGAGGGAGGTGGCCATGCACACGGACGGGGGAGATCTCCCAACAGCAAGCTGTGCGGCGATATCCTAGTAGAGGACGTCCACAACTCCAGGCCCCAGATGATGTCAGGAAGGCCGCAGCAACTGTGGCTAACACTTGGATACGACTTACTCTGTGCCAGGCGCTGCTCCGAGCACTTTACACACCCGCTCGCGTACAACTCACACCCTGCGAGGTGGATGCTACTGGGCCCAGCCCCACCGTACAGAAGAGAGGCCAGTCTGAGCCCGGGCAGGCTGTCTGCAGTTCCTAAGAGCACACACACCCACTCACGGAATAAAGATCTGGGGGGAGAGGCTCCGAAATGACAAGAGCCAAAGGGAATGCTATCCTAACTGGAAGGCTTTCATTTTCCGTCGTGAACATATTCCCGTGCCGCACACATAACTCAAAACAGAGCTAATCTACACAGACCAACACTGGTCGGTTGAGGGACTTTCTTCTGCACTCCACCTGCTGATGCAGCTCGGACCCCCACCCTCAGGACGTCTCTGGCAGTTTGCCAGTCCAAGAGGTCGGCTTGGACACTAGGCGAGCCCCAGGTCATTCCAGCCTCCCCCAGGAGGGCACGGGCCTGGGTCTGGGAGCTGGCCTGTGCCCAGGAGCAGGTGGGAACGCATTTTCCGGACAGAGCTCAGGGTGGGCTCAGCAGGATATGGCCCTCCCTGCTAGTGTGCTGCTCCAGCCATGGTTCGTGCAGTGGTGAGGCTGTCCTCACGTGCCGCGAGCCACGGGCTGATGGGAGTCTCAGGAGAGAGCACCCTGGCAGATATGAGGTGTCTGAGACTCTTAGTTCTTAGCTGAGTGAGGACCAGTGACCCAGAGACCTCTGGCTGCTCCCATGTAAATGTCCCGTTCCTTACACCCACCCTGTGGGTCGAGGCCTACTGAACCCCCAAGACAGAGCAGCACTTCCATTTGTGCCAGGGATGGCTCAAAAGTGGCCCCAAGTCTCCCTAAATCTAGAAGAGGGCACAGGGAAGAGTAGAGGGCATGAGTCCATAACCACCGGGCAGTCTGGCCACATCCCCAAGTTGGAGAGGTCAGTGCCAGGCTGACGTCTGATGACCCCCAATCCCAGAGGCCCCGGGGCTGGAAACGATGTGAAATATGAGGTTGAATAACCAGAGCCTGCCAGCGTCTCCTCCTAGGGAGTAGTCACAGCTCCCCTCCCCTTCCGCTTGCTATTTTTGGCCGGGCTAAGAATAGCCTGCTTTAAATACCCTTCTCCCTCCTTAAATCTGCTCTCAGGACTGCCCCCACAGCACCTTTCTAGAACTCCTGGCGGGTAGTGGCCACTCAACAGACCCAATTCACACATCTCCCACAGGACCTTGCTGAGATTTCTGCTAGAACCGGGTTTATCTGTGTCCTTCCTCCCCGACGCACGCCTCCGAGCCCAGCCTGCACCTGCCCTGGGAGATCTTGCTCAGACACGGACACCATCATGCCCTCGCCCAAAGACCTTCGTGTCCCTCGTCACCCAGAGAATAAAATCCAACCCCCCGAGCCTGGTATTCATGGCCAGGTGCAGCGTTTCACAGCACATCAGCCTGTACGTTCATGTTTCCAGAGAACCTACTGTATGCTGGGGGCTGTTCTAGGTGCCAACAGGGCCCTGAACTCCTGTCCCCATGTTGCTCTATCAGAGAAACCCTTCATTTGGCTGCGGCTCTGCCTGTGAGCCTCTGTTCTCCCCACGACAGGGTCCTTGGGGGCCGGGGGTGGGGGGGCCGGGCCCACCGCTCACCGGGCACCAGTCTCCTCTATGACAGCATCGGCTATGCCAGGTGCTGCTGTAGGTGCCATTAGCGCAGTGTCACGGCCTCACGCGTGCTCATTTTTAAACCACAGGTGTGTGCAAAGGCCCCGGGGCACGAGAGGAAGGCCTGCCCCACGCTCCCGCGGGGCTGGCAGGCACTCACTTGTTGAAGAGATTGAGGCCAATGCGATAGTGCCTCTTGCGGATGACGTCGTTGCTGAAGGCCGGGGAGTCCCAGCTGTTGCGGGTCTCCTTGTGGTAGGTCTGCTTGCTGAGCGTCTGCTCCCGCAGGCTGTCACGGGACGACGATTCAGAGCTGCAGTTGATGGTGTCGTTGGAGTTGGACGTGCTGTTGATGCTGTCGTTGTCCCCGTCCGAGTAGTCAGACTCGGACCTGCTCTGCCTGTTGGCCGAGCCGTTGATGGCCAGGTGGCTGTCCAGGGGCCGGGGGGGCCGGGGCCGCAACTCGGGCTCCTCCCGGGGAAGGCTCTTCGGGGGGCAGCCCAGGGGGCCGTGCTTGGGGCTGCCCTGTGGCCCGCCCAGGCCGCGTTCGTAGGCACTCTGCCTCTTGAGTGAGCCGCGGTCTGAGCGGTCGCTGAGGTCCACGGAGCTGTCGCTGGGCGGCTCGATGGTGAGCAGCGGGAGGTGCTCCACGCGCAGCCGCTGCTCTTGCCGCTCGAGCGACGGTGTGCTCCGGCAGCTCGTGTCCGTGTCCCCCTTGTCGTCTTTGTGGGCCAGCGCCCAGTAGTCCTGCGAGGCGCCCCCGGCTCGCAGCCGCGGGTCCGACTCGGCGCTGGGCGGCCGGTGCCCGGCCTGTGAGAGGGGCAGTGGGGGCGACAGCTCCTCCTCATCGATGTACAGGGTGACATCGCTGTACGAGGCTGTCATCTCGTCCAGTTTGTGGTGGTCAGCGCCGTGCAGGGCCGGCTTGGGCTCGGCATCCCGGGCCCGCCCCGTGTCGGCAGGGGGCGCCTCCCCCGAGTGCAGGCTGCGGCAGTGGAGGGCGTCGTCGATGGACTCTGCCAGTGATTTCACCTGCCGGGAGAAGGCGTCCTCCAGCTCCGTGATGGCGTCCGCGAAGTCGCTGGATGGGGCGGGAGACTTGAGGGCGGGCGGCTCGCCGAGGTCGCCGCGCTCCGACGGCACCAGGGCCCCCAGCTGTGAGCCATCGTCCGTCACCGAGACCTGCTTCCCCTCGAAGTAGGAGCTGTGCACCTTCTCAGGACCCTCGAAGGAGAACTGCATCCTCATGTTGGACAGCACGATCCGGCGCGACATGCGGTTCTCCGACATGGAGCTGCGCAGGCGCTCGAAGTTCTTGTTCATCTGGTACTGGCGGAAGGCCGTCTGGATGGTGCGGGCCGCATGGCGCGTCACAAGGCGGCCTCCATACTTGCGTTCTAGCATCTCCACCTGGGAGGGGAGAGGACAGGACAGTGAGGACAGCCCCGCGTGCTGGCACAGCGCCTTGCCCACCCATGCTCCTGCTGGCGCCCAGCCCCGTGGCAGCACCATGTGGAGAGAGAGGCCTGGGCACATCCCAAAGTTGGTTCCGGCAACCACGGAGGCGAGCTGGTGAAGGTGGGCAAAACGGGGGTTCCCAGGCCAAATAAAATGGAGCAGCACCACGTGAACGCAAGATGTTCCCTGCGGGACTTCTCAGAACCTTTAAAAGGTGGCGAGTTCCCAAATTTCTTTGGCCACAGAAACCTTTGGCCCTAGTGCATCTTGCGGGCCTGTGGTTTAACGAAACTTGGGAGATGCTGGGAGACGTGAAGGCAGCCCCTGCAGAGAGGAGGGACCCATGGCACGAGAAGGTTAAGAGACCCGCCAAAGATGTCAGTGAGATCCTGGACGCTGAGCAGGGGCTGCAGGCTTTTGGCCTTATTTCTTCTCTACAGCAGACAATGTGCTCTTACTAGCTGGGGGCAGGTGTGTGTGTGTGTGTGTGTGTGTGTGTGTGTGACTGAGCTTCAGGGAGACCTGAGAGAATCACCTTACTGAGGCACAGACTTCGAGGCCAGATGCCCACGCTGCAATCCCACCCTGCCCTCGTTAGCTGTGTTACTCTGCATAAGCCTTGAAGCCGTGCCCTTCCCCAGTTTCCGCATCTATAAAGTAGGGGACAGACTCAGACCCACGTTGTAGGATCACGGCGAGCACCTGATGACATAGATGCTAGAAGGCCCTTGACGGCATTCCTGGAAGGTGTTTACAATTTAGGGGGTCCCCAAGCCCCCTCACTAGACAGATGGGGAAGCTAAGGCCCAGAGAAGACACTGAGCACATGGCTGGAGGCCTCCAGACTCCAGAGCGAGTCCGGAACCATGTGTCCTGCTCATCCCTCTCCTTGATGAGGCACAGAGACGGGGCAAGGCGGCAGGCAGGTAGCACTGCCTGGGACTCCCCCATGTGACCCACGAGCCTCCCAAAGCCCCGAGGCTCATGCCAGCGCTCGGTGACCAAGGACAGCCCAAGGGCTGCTCCCCGCGCCTTGTTCCTGAGTAGGAGCCCGCTCTGTAGGAATCAAAGAGAACTCAAGACAAGGAACTGGTTTCTCAGCCAAGCCAGGGCTTTTGGGGTGCTGGGCACAGGGGGTACCTGATGTGGGGCCAAGAGAGGTCTCAGGTCCTCAGGAGTGAGGCACATGTGCACCACACCCTGCTTGTCTAGACCCCACCTGCCTACTCTGTGCCCGGTATCACACCAAAGCTGGTGGCAGAGAGAGATAAGGTCCCTGCCCTCAAGAAGCAAACAGCCTGTCCAGGGGAACAGACACACACGCACCTAACTGAAATAGAACCAGACACTCAGCAAATCCAGGCTATGGCCCGAGTCAGGGGAGAGGGTCACTCAGAGCCGCGGTGGGGTGGGCTGGGAACAGAGGGCTTGGAGCTTCACGCACATCAGTGCAGGTCCTGGACCCCTCACTTCCTGGCTCTGGGATGTCAGCTCCCCCCAAAAACCGAACGTGCCAGCTCTCTGGGGCCCACAGGCAAGGGAGCAGCAGGCTGGGCAGAGCGGCTCCCTTCAGAGGAGAGGAGCGTGGAGTGTGTGTGTGTGTGTGGTGGGGGGGTGGATCAAAATGACTTTTCTGGGCCCAGAGTCAGCCAGGGTGGGTCTGTTTTTTCTCCTGCCCTGAAGTTACTGAACACCATCCAAAGAGATGACCTCACTTCCACATCTGTAAGCAGACTTTGTTTTCTTGGGGTTTTGAGTGGGGCTGTGAAAGCCAATGGAGCCGATAAAGGGCCCAAGGCTGAGCTCTAGGGAGCCGTCTCTTCTCCGCCGTCCATGGCTTGTGTTGTGGGTCCCCTCATGTCACCTTTGGGGGTGGGGTCACGATGGCAGTGCCACCAGCTCAGATCCAGGGTTCACTTCAGGGCTCTCTCTCCCCTGCTGACTTTGGACCTCAGAATCCAAGTAGCAACCCTGCTTGCCTGAGACCGGCTCCCCAGATCTGGGGGAGGGGTCAGGGGAAAGAAGAGGGACTTTGGGAAGGCAGAAATGGGCTCTGTTTTTGTCATCAAAGCCCCTCTCGGTCCAGGACACATGCTGGCCCAGGCCTGCTCTTACGCATTGCCTAGACTCCCCCAGTCATTCTTCCGTCTGGGCCAGAACTGACTCAAGGCCCAGTCTGAAAGTTTATTGGGGTACAGGGGAGGGAATCCAATCTGTACGTGCTCACCTGCTATACATCACCCTCGCCCAATACTCACATGACATCCAGTCTGCAGAGGGGCTCTGGGACTCCCCACTTCTCGGAGGACAGAGGCTCTGGGAGGTGAGGTGGAGCTGACCCGTAGCGGGGGCTCTCCCGGCAAGCCCTCACTCTCCCTTTAAAAGGACACTTCTCAACATTGGGGGAGGGATGGGGAACAGAGAGGAAACGCCCTTCCACAAAGCAGACCTACCACATCTTGATGACTCAGGACTCTTGTTCTCATTGATAGGAAACCGCCAGAAGGTACAGAGGCCCTGAAGCCAGAGGGCTCCCTTCACTAAGCGGGACTCCGTGTTACCCTATTTCCCTACCCTACCCTACCCTGCTTCCATCCGGTAGCTCCCATGTAATCTGTCCTATTCCCACTCTAGCTAGGATTGCCAGGAAGTCAACAGCTCAGACACCCTCTCACCTTTCCACCACCTCTTCCTTGCCATCCTTTCTACCACTGCTGTTCTGCCTCAGGGCCTTTGCGCCTGCAGTTACCGCTTCCTGGAAGGCCCCTTCCTCAGACACTCCATTCTAATGCCAGCCTGGGGAGGCCTTCCTCACCACCCTTATCCAATGCTGGCGCCTCCCACAGTCACTCCATTTCTTCCCCCTATTTTATAATCTCTGGGGTTTGTATCACGTTCCGGAATTAAACTGTCTTTATTGCTAACTTGTCTGCGGATCCATCTTCTGGACCACAGTGTCAGCTCAAGAGCTGGGGCCTCGCCCTGTCCACTGTCGACTTCCCAGCACCCAGCACGGTGTGTGGCACACGATGGGCTTTTGGTTAACATGCGTGAGATGAAAATGAACAGCCATGGCCACGGTAAGACCAGATGAAGCAGACGATTATTTATTTCCACGGGCCTCTCTTAGGTCTTCAACTTCCTTACTTCTACTTCAATGGTTCTGTTGGGGGTCTTTTACTATCAACTGTTTCTGATCCACTTTGGATCTGGGTGGAACTGATAAACGGAACGGAGGTGGTCCTCCCCTGTTGTGGGCCTGGCTACGGGGCCAAGTGACACAGGGGATGGGGGGCTATTTGCTAACAGGCCCTGGCCACTGGCCAGGCTCCCTGTCTCCCAACTCACAGGCAGAAGGCTGAAGAGAACGAGGGCTGAGCAAGTAGGACTGTCCAAAGCCACAGGGTGGAACCGAGAACAGGGAGAGGAGGGGCCTGTAGGGGATTCTGGGGGTGGGGGATAGGGAAGATCCGCCCTGGGCAGTACCTGCATTGCTCCTCCGAGCCAGTTGCCACACCGGGCCCAGACCTCTGCTCTGTAAAAGACACGTGGGAAGACTAGGAGGCAAATGGAGGGCAGCAAGGCGAGGGGTCGATGTGGCCACCCAGGACTCACCAGGAGATGGCCCAAGGAACTCCCAGAAGCTAGGGGAAGCCGGCCAGACAAGTTGGGCCTTGCACATTTGCACAGCTGCTTGCTGCAGCCTCGGGTTCTTGCCATCAGTTTCACACGAGAATTCTTATTAAAGTACCTACTACGTGCCTGCTCTTGAAGCGAGAGCTCTCTGGCCCTGGCCCCCGCCCACCACCCAGCCAGGACAGGCCTCTCCCCTCGACCCCAAGCAGCTGTCTTTACTTCTCCCTGGAGCCCAGCCACGGGGGCGGGCCGTGCGCCCACCTCATTCTGCACACAGGTGCCAACCTCACGGTGGGTCTGGGCCAAGGCCCCTGCCTTGGGAGGAAGTGAGCCCTCAGTGAGGTCGTTTCCCACGAGAACACAGAGTTGTAAACCGAAAGGGATATAATAAGCAACCTCGCCCGCTGGCTGTGGATGGGCTTGGTGTTCTTTTCAGAGCCTGTGCTATTTATGTTGTAAACTGACCTCCCGCCCTTCTCCGCAGGGACTCCTCCCCAGGGCTACCTAAGGTTCAGCCCTCTCCTGGGACCGCAAACCCTCAGTGTCTGGCCACCTAACCTGTGTGCATGGCCATGAGGACTGTGAGTGGGGGAGAGGCGAAGTCCTGACACTCCAGTGCCCTCACTCTGAGAGCCTCCACGGGTCGGGAGGAGCAGGAAGGGCAGCCTGGGCCGACGCAAAGGTCACAGTCGTAGCGCGCGTGCGCATAACCATGCTTCCATCTGTGGGAGAGCACAGGACGCCGGTGTCCGAGAGCCGAGACTCCTGCTGCCCAAGGCAGTCCCAGCAAAGGGCCGCGCGTCGTCCTCCAGGCAGAGCAGCCCGGCTGCCTGTCCCTGCGTGGTGGGTCCCGCCTACCTGCTTGTCCTGCAGGTCCGAGGAGAGCTCATAGCTCTCAGAGAGTGACCGCGAGCGCTTGATGGCCTCCTCCTCGGCCTGCTTGCGCAGGATGGAGGTCGAGTGCTGCAGCTTGGGCCTCCGTGTGCGCTGCTGTTGCCCCGGCGGGCCCGCGTACAGCCCATAGGCTCCCACCGACGTGTGCTCGTAGTGGTCCGGGCTCAGGCTGGAACCGGGCGCTAGGGGGCCCTGGTAGGCCGACGGGCTGTCCAGGGACGTGCCGGTCTCGCTGCTGGGGGCCTCGCCCTCCACGCTGCAGGGGACAGAGAGAGGAGAGAGGCCTCCTGTGAGTGGGAGACAAGACCCCAGGGCCTGACAGGGAGCCAGGAGCTGAGAGGGGGCTGCAGCCAAGGGGCAGCCCCCTGCGTCCCCTGCAACACCGTTTAAGCATCCAACACACTTTACTGATTGATTTTGCTTATTGTCCATCTCCTACGTGAGCGTGTCAGCTCGTGAGGACAGAGGTTTGACCCACTACACGCAGTGATGAACCCCAGTGCCCAGAGTGGGGCCTGGCACACAGTAGGTGGTCAGTGAATATTTACTGACCCCCTAAATGACTCCGGTCACCTTCTCTGCCTCAATCCCACCACATGGATTGAGTCAACTAAGGATTTTTGTACTTTTTGTTCTTATTTTTTTAAATAAAAATTAACAAAAGTGACTCTTCTCTCCACACCTACTTGGGCATCAGGCACTGTAACATTTGTTATGGGCTGAATCGTGTTCCCGCCCAGAATTTATATCTTGAAGTCCTAACCCCAGCACTTGAGAATGTGTGTTAAGAGACGGGATCTTCAAAGAGGTAGTTAAGTTACAGTGAGGTCTATTAGGGTCCTAATCCAACACGACTGGTGTCCTTCTCAGAGGAGATTAGGAGCCAGACACGCACAGAGGGACAACCATGTGAGGACACAAGGAGAAGGTGGCCACCAAGGAGAGAGACCTTAATGACACTAACATACAGGACTTCCGGCCTCCCTCCGGAACAGTGAGAAAACAAATGTTACCATTTATTTATAAATACCAGTCTGTGGTTGTTATGGCAAGCTTGGAAATGAATACAGTGTCATACATATATTTTCTCTAAATCTTTTTTTTTTAATTTTTTTTAATGTGTTTATTTATTTTTGAGACACAGAGAAACAGAGCATGAGCAGGGGAGGGGCAGAGAGAGAGAGAGACACAGAATCTGAAGCAGGCTCCAGGCTCTGAGCTGCCAGCACAGAGCCCGACGCGGGGCTCGAACTCACAGACTGTGAGATCGTGACCTGAGCTGAAGTTGGACGGTTAACCAACTGAACCACCCAGGCGCCCCATATTTTTTCTAAATCTTAAAACCAGTCTGCAAAGAATTATTAACTCACCGTTTCCAGGTGGGGAAACTGAGGCCCACAGAAGTACGGGTACCTGCCTGTGGTTGCACAGGTAGTGAGTGGGTGAGTCCGGGGGTCAGCACCCAAGTTGGCTGGATTCCAAGCCCGGGCATACCCCTCCACCTCACCACCCCTCATCCCTCTCAACATTCCAAGCACCAGACTGTGGGGACAGAGAGGGAGTGGCTCATCCCAAATTCGTGAACTCAGAAAACAGACATTGGTTCCTTCTGCAGACTACCTTTCAGCATAGGACAAGGAGACAAGGTTGTTTCTCACACGGCTTCCGGTAGCCTCTCTGGTCAAGCCTTGCCATTTCCCTGTCCCTGCAAGACATCAGTCAACCTTTGAAGGCTCTCTGATCCCTGGGTCCAGGGCAGGGGTCTCTCTGGAAGGGGCCCAGCAGAGAGAAGGGAATACAGCACCCCCTCTCAGGCTGCAGTCCTTCCTCAGGGATCCTGTCTTCAGACCAAAGGGAGCACCCCACACGCAACATCCCTGGGACCAAATGGTCTTCCCCTGCCCAGCTCTGCTACATTGTCCCCACACATCACAGGGCCTGGCAGGGCTCCCTGCCAGTATAGAAGGTTCACGGACTCCTGGGGGTGACAGACTCGGAGTAGGGGCAGAGGGAAACAGCCTGCCCTTTGGTTCCAGTTCTGCCCCGAGCCAGGGATGGGCTGCAAATCCCTGCACTTGCTTTCCAACTTGTAGGTCAAGAATAGTACAGGACTTCCGCTCCACCAACTGGCTCTGGCCTCCGGGGACATGCGGTGGGTGTCCTGTGACAAAGGACATCCCATCCTGCTCCCCAGAGGCTAAAGTGTGGCAAAGGTCCTTCCTTGGGGAAGAGGTCTGGGTACTTTGCCTTGATGTTGCTGTAAATCAGGGAGGGTCATCCTTCACTTCCAGGCCTGCCTCCCCATCCATTATCAACGTGGATGGACTAGACCCTCTTAAGGTATCAGAGGAATATCACCCTTCAAGACTCCTGACGTCACAGTTACCCAACGGCTGTTTCCTCTGGGCCCCATTTGTGTGCACTGGGTGGGGGAGAAGGGTGGGATCTAACAAAAGTTAAAATTCCCCTATTCTATTGACATAGCTTTGAACAGTGCCTCACAATAAATACTCGGTGCCTTGATCAATAGTTGCATGGAAGAGAGAAGGAATCCCCCTATTAGACTCGTAGGTGGTCGATCTCCAGCTTATAGGCGAGCAAGCCTATCCACGGACAGATGAGCCAGAGCGCCTGCCTTTGCTCTGGCCCCCACACGCCTCCCTGCCTTGCCCTTTTCGTGCAGCCTCCGAGCGCCTCGCAAGGAAGTATTTCTACACATACATCCCCCCTACTGGAAATGCTTCATTCGGGGGCAGAGTCTGTTTTTCCGAGCAAGAGGCTGACAGGAGACAAAATCTCATCCTCGAGGACAAGCAGCCGGAGCCCTGCTTATAAGGTTTTAAAACAGTCTCACAACCCCGGGTTTCCAGAAACACGGGGAGACCGAAGGGGCGGGCTCTCTGCAGGTCCCCAGAGCAGGAAGCCCTTCTGTGTCTCACGGTGGCTCCGTCAGGGAGGGGTGGGCCTTGACACGCCCCAGGATAAGGCAGTGGCCACCTCTCGTGTCTGCGGGGGATTCAACCCTTTCCCTGGGCCTTGCTCACCGGGCCTCAAAGCAACGGTGAACAGGCAAAGGGGCATTCTTCCTGGCAGCAGTGGCGATGAGTCTGTGAATGTGAGAGGCTGTCTTCATTCCCCGGTTGGCTGTGGTTTGGGGCCGAGGAAAGAGAAGCAGGCGACAAGCCTCTGGACTCAAGGGCCGTATGTGGCTCAGTAGCCGGGGAAGGGCCTGGCTGCCTTGAAGGCTGGGGGCGGGGGCAGGGGCAGGATGTCTGTGAGTGGTGACCTGACAGGGATGCGGCACTTCCTGGGGCTATGCCAGCCCAGGATCCTTGCTCTGGGCATTACCTGGCTCCCAACTGTCTTAAGGCAGCAGGTTCCAGAACATGCTCAGGAGAGAGGGCCAAGCCTCCCCTCACAGCCAAGGGAAGGGGTCTGACGGTCACTCGCAGCCTTTCTCTTCACCATGAGGCAGCTGCAGCCTCCCCCCCATCAGCCCTACCTTCCATACACACCCAGGCTCTGCTCCCTTCTCAGCAGATGGTCCAGGCCACCATCACTGCTCCCTGGATTATCACAACAGCCTCCTCGGTGGTCTCCCTGCCTCTCTTCTCCCCATGGCTGCCACAGTGACTCTGATAAAACATAAGATCAAGTGCTTCCCTTGGTCCCCATTACACTTAGAAGACGCTGTCCTTGCAATGTCCTTGAAGGCCTGACCTCAGCTGCTCTCATCTTAGCTCCTCTCCTTGCTCATTCTGACTTCCTGATTCATGGACTTCCTCTCTGCTCAAAGGGGTCAGGTATCCTCCTGCCTCAGGGCCTTTGCACTGGCTGTTCTCTCTGCCTGGAACACTCTCCCCCAGATCTCTGCTAGCACCAGATTTAAAAATCATAGCTCTCTCTCCACTCCCACCCCCAGATTACTGGCCCTTTCTTCTCTTTTGTTTTTTCCTTTGGTGACAATCATTACTTCAAAACACACTGTATAATGCATTTATCTTGTTTTTTGGTTTGTTGTCTGTCTCGGACATCAGTGTATAAGCTGTAAGAGAGTGGGGACAATTTGTCTGTTTTGCTTGCTCATGTTCCCCAAATGCCAACCCACGTGCCCAGGTAACAGTGCTCAGTAAATACTTCCCAAAGGAGAGAAGGCATTTCCCCATGCCTGCTGGGAGCCAGGTCCTGGAACATAGTTTCTCACATCATTCCTGCCAGACATCCTGGGTGCCCCAAACCAAACTCATGCTCTTTCTCCACCGTCACACAGTGACACGAGTCAGGGTCCTGGGTGTCGTCATCACGTCAGGCCCTCCCCCACAGCCAACCCCCACCCCCGCCCCATTCAATCTGTCACCAAGTCCTGCTGAATCTACCTGAATGGTATCCTCTCGACTCGTGCAATGTGGCAATGCTTCCACGGCACCAAAATCAAAACCAACCTCAGACCATCCTGGTAAGAAAAGAATTGGCCAGGCCATCCTACCGCAACCAGCATGGCCCCACAACCGACAATGTCCTCTGATACATAAGTGAGCACTGCGTGAAAGTACGTCTGCAGCTCAAGAACCCACCCTGAGCCCGAGGACGATCAGAAGCCACACACTACTCGACACGAAAAGAGACTCCTTTCTTAATCTGAGCCGAACAGCTGGTGAACAGAAAGGTAACTTTTTTTCAAGTGAAAATGCCCCATGGTGACGAGTGTGGCCAATAGCCACTCTCAGAACGTCTAAGTTGGTATAAGTTTTTCAGAGTGCTAGATGGAAACAGCTATCAAATTCCACTTGACCATCCTCTGTTGGCACCTGTAAAGCTACTTTACTTATAGCAATGCCCTGAAACTCACGGGCCCCTCGGTTCTGGTTAGTACTCAGCTCTACCCCTAGTTCCTTCCTGGGGGAGGAGGAGGGTTGTCCAGTGTGAACAGAACAGTCATCCTCTCCCTCCCCACAGCAGGTTGCCCTAGGGACGGAGACCTTTGCTTTATATGATGGCCACACTTGACACAGCAGGGATTTGGGGGTCAGGGAACCATCAGGCCCAGCCCCTGGCCTCCATCCTCTGCTGCCCCAACCCCCTCTTCCCTCCCCTGCCTCTTGCACCAGCAGCCCACCCTGCACACCATTTCTTTGCCACGGTGATTTCTGCACCAGAGCACAACATCTCACCACCCAGGTCAGCTGCCTTTGGGAAGCTTCTGCTACAACCTGCGTCCATCAGCCAGGCCTGAACACCCTGGAGTGGGT